TCCGAGAACTGCCGTCCGATCAGCCAGCAGCATTTACCAGGCACCTTTTCGGGGTGCTGAGCCCTTACATGATGCAAAGTACAGCGGAGGCCTCGTCAGCAGCTCAGTCATGACATGCTTCACGTCCCACACAATTCACCTCTTGCTCTTTAACTGTTTCATGGAGGGAAATTTTAAATCCAGGCTTCCCCCTCTAATGAGTTCCCATAAATGTGCCTGGGTGTTAAAAATACAAAATCCTAGCAAATGTTTTATATGATATAACAGCAGGCTCCAATCCAGCAAATAAAATAAATAAAATGATGAATCATGTTATAACTGTTTACTTAATTTTTACTCTTGGGTATTATTAATTATTTGTCTCAGCCATGCAAAGTGCTGTGATTACAGGCATGAGCCACTGCACCTGGCCAATTTATTTTATTATTGACTTATTTTTTATTATTTTTTAGAGACAGGGTCTCACTCTGTTGCCAAGGTTAGAGTGCAGTGGTATATATATACACAGACACATACATACACATATATACACACACATGCACACACACACACATAACTAACACAGATTAAAAACTAAAAGAAGTAAACAGTTTAACAATTTTCTAAAGCATTTCAATAACCCAAGTTTGAGTTCTCTCAGCTCATGTGAAGTAAAATTCCATAGACAGAAGTATAATTTACTTTTAATTATTTATTTATTTCAGACAGGATCTCACTCTGTCACCCAGACTAGAGTGCAGTGATGCGATCTCGGCTCACTGCAGCCTCAACCTCGAGGGTTCCAGCAATCTTCCCACCTCAACCTCCCAAGTAGCTGGTACCACAGTGTGCGCCACCACACCCGGCTAATTTTTTGTATTTTTTTTTTTTGCAGAGACAGGGTTTCACCATGTTGCCCAGGCTGGTCTTGAACTCTTGAACTCAAGTGATCCACCTGCCTTGTCCTCCCAAAGTGCTGGGATTACAGGCATGAGCCACCGAGAGCAGCCAGAATAGGTATATTTTAATGTTAAGGAAAAGCACTTGCCGCTGATGATTTTGCAGAAAAATAAGAGAATATGATGCTTATGTTGATGGAATCTTACTGATTCCCTAAATATGTGTCAAGAGAAAGAACATAGGGTTTCTTCTCATTTTTTTTTAAAAATTTTTATTATTTTTTTTTTGAGATGGAGTTTCACTCTGTCGCCCAGGCTGGAGTGCAGTGGTGCGATCTTGGCTCACTGCAATCTTCACCTCCCAGGCTCAAGTAATTCTCCTGCCTCAGCCTCCCGAGTAGCTGGAACTACAGGCATGTGACACCACTCCTGGCTTAATTTTCTGTATTTTTAGTAGAGACACAGTTTCACCGTGTTCGCCAGGATGGTCTCGATCTCCTGACCTCGTGATCCACCCACCTCGCCTCCCAAAGTGCTGGGATTACAGGTGTGAGCCCCTGGTTTTCTTCTCTTGATAAAGAGCCTGTAGTGCCGTCTCCCATGTAACTGGTCCACATACTTTTGTACTACTCTCTGCATTTGGGTCATTGGAACACTTTACTGCTAAATTTTTTCATTTGTTTCTTCCCTTCTTGTTGCTTTTTTTTTTTTTTTCAAAGAATTGTGGTAAAAGATACATAAAATAAAATGTACTACACCAAACATTTTTATGTGTACAATTTAGTGGCATTAAGTACATTCACCACTAATTCCAGAACTTTTCATCATTCCAAACAGAAACTCCAAACCCGTTAAACAATAACTCTTTTTCTTCCCTTTCCTCCAGCCCCTGGAAGCCTATACTCTATTTTCTGTCTCTAGGAATTTGCCTATGCTAGGTAAATCCTCTATGTGGAATCATACAATATTTGTCCATCTGTGTCTGGCTTATTTCACAGAGCAGAACGTTTTCAAGTCTCATCCTTGTTGCAGCATATGTTCCTCTTTATGGCTGGATAACACTCATGTACATGAATACCATATTTTGTTAATTCAACTACTCATTACCTTTTAGGAATAACTGTGGATGATCTATTTCCAGTGCCTTAGATATGTCCTTTAATGTGCTTTTTTTCTTTCACAATGAGACTCTGTGACATAAATTGTATATACATAAATTTTAAGACAGGATTATTACCCTTGAAACTCAGAGTCACACTGGAGAGGCAGTCAAGTGACATAGTTTGGATATTTGTTCTCACCCAAATCTCGTGTTAAATTGTAATCCCCAGTGCCAGAGGTGGGGCCTGGTGGGAGGTGTTTGCGTCAGGGGAGCGGATTCCTCATGGCTTAGTTTCTTTTATTACTGTCTTTGCAATAGTGAGTGAGTTCTTGTGAGATCTGGTCACTTAAAAGTAAGTGGCACCTCCAATCCAATCTCTGGCTCTCTCACTCCTGCTCTGGCCATGTGACGAGCCTGCTTCCTCTTTGCCTTCCACCTCATTGTAAGCTTCCTGAGGCCCGGAAGGCCAAGCAGATGCCAGCACTATGCTTCCTGTACAGCCTGCAGAACTGTGAGCCAAATTAAACCTCTTTTCTTTCTAAATTACCCAGTCTCAGGTATTTATTTATAGCAGTGCAAGAACGGCCTAAAACATCAAGTAAACAGATTATTCCAACACAACAGAGAGCACTGTGACAAGGTTACGAGGTCACAAAGGGGAGAACAAGGAACTCTGGGTGGTGGCAGAGAGTTTTCAGTGAAGCAACAATATCTTACCAGGGTTTTGAAGAATGAACAGAAGCTCTGTGTTAAATGAAGAAGAAACAGGAGTCCCTCCAAGCACAGGAACCACTCATGTCAAGATATGGGGCAAAAAGAGAGGACGTATTTGGAGACTAGAGAGTAACTGAAGGCTATCATTCAATCGGTGATAGTCTTCATGCAGGTTAATATCAAAGGCAACCTGAATTTCCTCAGACTTCATGAACTGGCGGTGAAGGGTGAGATCACACAAGCAGTAATAACCCAGCTCTCCCTGGCTCACTGCCTTACTTACTGGACTTCTGGTCCCCAGCAAAGCTGTCCCCATGAATTTGGGAGTCTCCATTCCTGTCCTTCCACTCCCCTCAAACGTGCTTGCATTCAAGGTCACATGGTAACTTGACTCTTCTCACCACTACTTCTGTGGGAATGCGGGGACCAGGCCAGAGCTGTGGGTGCTGCCCTCCCCAGAGACTTCACTATGCCCAGGGAGGACTGACTGGAGGAGGGGACCAGGCATCTCCCCTGCACTCTGGGCCCACAGCAACCCTGTATACTAGCCCGTATTAACCTTACCACTCCTTCCTCCAAAGGGCTGAGACCTCAACCATGGGACCTGGGTGGTGATCACCACAAAACTTCTTCCTGAAAGTTCTTCTCCAACAACTTCTCACATTCAGTTATTCATTCAACAAACATTGAGCAACAACCTAATATTCTGGGCTCTGGAGACCGAGTTCAAAAGAAGACAGCAGGCCTCTGCCCCCCACTTCCTGACAGGTCACTGCATCTTGAGTGCTAAGACTGTCATCACAGAGTGAGGAGGGGAACTGAGCTCAGAGGGGTAGAACCTCCTGAAAGGGCAGAACAGCTCATGCATCCTGCCAAGGTCAGAAGGTCAGTGCCTACTGCATCTTCCTCTCTTCCCATCCCCGATTGTGTTTGAGGTGTGTGGGGCATGGCCCAGGCTGGCAGCCAGTAAAGCCTAACCGGTCCTAAGACTAATCAGCCCAGCCCAGCAGCCAGCTTCAGGAGTCTGGCCAGTTCATTAAAGTTCCCCAGAGTCCTTGCTTGTTCTAAGCCTAGAACTCCTGTCAACTCTTGACATTACCCTCCCCCAACTCTTCATATCTAACACACACACACACATACACACACACCCCTCCACCTTGCATTTTATACCCCAACCCCCTAGGGTTCCTCAATATTTCCCAAAATAAAGTCCCTATATGCCCTCTTGTCTGTGCACCCAAGCTGCTACCCTTGGCTGGAACAAGCTCCTCTCCCTCCCCAGCGAGCACCTACTTGATCCTTCATGACAGCTTAGGTATCCAATACCTCCTCTGGGTGGCCTCTCTTGGCAATACCAGTCTAGGTCACGTCTCCCTCCTACTATAGCCCATATTACATTATGTTGAAATGTAACCCAAATGAACTAGTCAAAGGTCTGTTCACACCGAAATAAGCACCTAGACACAGGAACTAATGATATCTTACTCATTGCTGTCCACATAGTAGAGTCTCATTCAGAGTTGATTGAATGAATGAGTGGGTGAATGGTAGAATCAAAGTGGAAGAGCTCAAGACAGTTGCCACAAACTAGGCTGGATTTCTTGTCATTTTTAACTTGCTACCAGTTAGTCACATGGCTTATGGATGAATTAGACTAATTTAAAGATACAGAATCAAATACTTGGTTCAGTTTCTAATCAATGAATGGGCTGATTAGATCAATCCATTGCAACTGCAGGGCTCTTTCTGTAAACACAGAAATTCTACAATATACTTTTCTTCAAACTGTCTGTGAGTACTGAGTTATTTAATTAAGGACAAATTTTAATTTTTCAAACCTAGTGAATTATATTTTCATAAATAATACCATACAATCATTACTAAAAATGTTGAAAAAACACCAAGTATCTGTTTTCCTGAAACAACTCCCAAATGTGCAAGAAATTGACAACTTATGTTTTCATAACAATCCTCATAATCCCTAGTCTCAATTTTTGTTTTAGTATTGAAAAATAACAGCTGGGCGCGGTGGCTCACACCTGTAATCCCAGCCCTTTGGGAGGCCGAGGCAGGTGGATCACCTGAGGTCGGGAGTTCAAGACCAACCTGACCAACATGGAGAAACCCTGGCTCTACCAAAAATGCAAAAATTAGCTGGGTGTGATGGTGCATGCCTGTAATCCCAGCTATTCGGGAGGCTGATGCAGGAGAATTGCTTGAACCCGGGAGGCAGAGGTTGCAGGGAGCCGAGATCGCACCATTGCACTCCAGCCTAGGCAACAAGAGCAAAACTCTGTCTCAAAAAAAAAAAAAAAAAAAGAAAAGAAAAGAAAAATCACTGGTGTTTTTATTGGTATTTCTAGTATTGGAAAACAACTGGTATACTTAACAATATTTGTTACATGGCAGAGTAAGAAAGGGAAGAGGAGAAGGGGTTATCTTACATGCTCATGAATGAATTATACTCAGTTCCTTCCTTCATTGTCTCTTTCCACTTCAGATCCAGAAAGAATTAGGAGTGGAGGTAGAAGGGAGAGATGTCAGGATAGGGTTACCATTGATATATGTAGCATCACAAACTAATAAATAACTCATAAATCCTCTGCTTCTTCCTCTCCTTCCTTTCTCCTTATATTTCCTCAGTAGGATCAGTGACGATTTTGAAACAGCCTGGTCTCACATCACATTCAGGAGATTCTGCCTCTGAATTCTTAACAGCCTGAGAGATGCAGTTGGGGCTGACCTGCTTGATCATATGCAAATTAAAAGCAGATGCTAGTAATGAGAACATTCCAGCCAAAATCCAAAGCTACCCCAGAGGAGTGGAGCATGAAGACACTTGCTCTATTGGAACAGTCATCTATATATTACAGTAGGGGAAAGCCTTGATCCCATTCCCAGAAATCTTCACGACCATTGAAGATGAGGTGGTTTCTTCTTGGGTACAGCCCAACCACATGGGTGGCAGAGGCCAAAGATGGGCTGAGGGGGCTAAAAGCTACCATATCTGCTTCTGACTGCCAAGTGTCTAGAGAGATCCTTTCAATGCACTTGTAACAGATCTCCCCTCCTCCCAGAGAGTGGGGATGGGAGAGGCCTAAGCCATACCCATGCATTCCAGCTGGTCAATCAACAGGGAGGCGTTTAGGGGCTCTCGAGCTACCTAATCACCAGTACTGGTCCACCGTTTGCAGCAAGGTCCTGAAATCCTCCTCAGAGGTCTACAAATCCTAACGTACTTGTACTCAAAGGCCAGCTGGGAAACAAAGAACATGAGCTCAACTTTGTAAAAGGATCTCTATCTCCTCACATTGGAAAAACACATGAATGTACCCTACCACTACAGAAGTCATTTGTACATGCTCCTTACCTTTCTCTATCCAGAATATTACTAAAGAAAATGACAAAGGAGACAGGAATAGGTGAAATAGTGAGCTTTCTGGTCTCCCCACCATTTAGCCTAAAAAATGAAAATGGACATGGAAACATTTAATTTCATCCTTATAACAGATCTGATACTCAATTTTTAAAAAACCTAGTAGTTTAACTACATATAAATTTAGAAATTTAATATTTATAATGCAAATAGGACATGTTTACATGGTAAAGGGAATGAGGTAGGTGAAAGGGAGATTTGAAGATATTGAAGCAAAAAAGTAGACATCTTTTTTCTCCTATCATATTTTTATATGTAAATAGAGGGAGATTCTTTCTTAAAACATGACCACAATATTATTTCACACCTAAGAAGGAACATTAATTCTGTAATATCATCAAATATATCCAGGATAACTTTTTTTTCTTACACTTTGAATAAGAATTCAAAGTCCATATATTTTGATTGTGCAGTATTTCTTATAAATCTCTTTCCATCTATAGGTGCCGGATCCAGGGCAAAAATGAAGACATATGGGACCTTAGGTGACAAGGAAGAAGCTCCCAGGCAGCATGTGGGATGGACCCAAGGAGAACGTCAGAGAGAAAGGTTCAGTCTGGTGTCTCCTGAAGCAGGTGAGGTACACATGGACATGAAGGGTCCCATCCATCCTTCAAGGGTATCGCTGAGGCAGGAATGAGAAAACAAAACAAAGCAAAACGGGAAAAAAGCACAATTCTCATGAAAGATGGTTACAGCTTATTCCATAGAACCCTGGCCTAACTTTACCTTCAAGAACATGACCTGACTTTGCTTCCCACTGACAAGGTGTCACCTTTTACAGTTCTATTCGGGTTCAGGCAAAAGAAACAGCATGCTTGTGTTTCAAAGGTGGCAGCATGCTGACGAAGGAGCGTGGAACTGGTGCCTCCAGGACTCATGACAAGACCTTACGGAGAAAGAAGTCACCCAAGGGCAAATGACTGGAGTGTGGAAGAGTATGGAAGAGCTGGACCAAATCCACATGGTCCGGTCAGTTCTCCAAACATCAAGACCCTGTGCGGTGAGGGTGAGCCATCTCAGCAGAAAGGTATACCTCCCTGCCCATGTCACCTCCAACACTTCCAGACCTTCTCTTCCCTCCTTCCCCAATCCCACCCAAAGCTCCAGTTCCAGCAAATGTGGGAGTGCAACGAATGCAATTAGCTGGGGTGATGGCAGCAGCCCTGAACTTGGACTCAGAAGACCTGGCTTTAAATTTCGCCTCCGCACTTACTGGTTGTATGACCCAAGGCGATTTACCTCCCCCTCCACTTTCCCCATCTGTGAAATGGGGTAAATAAGAGTCCCACCTGATTCAAAAGGTTATGAGGATGAAATATGGTTGAGAGATGAGAATCCTTTTAAACTTCTCTGCAATACTAATGATGATAATGATTAAAGTAACTTAGTTGCAAAATAATGTGAATGACATTACCTGGCCTTTAACCCTTCAGGAAGTGTTTATTCTTTAAAGGGAAAAGTTTGTCAAACCAAATGAATCCTCTTGGTGAACTACACGGATAACATATTTTGGAGAGAGATGGTAGGCCAGTTCCTGTGACCCTCTCTAACTGAGGCTGGGGCTAGGGAGGGAGGCCCTTTCATTCTGACCTCATTTTTGTTTCAAAGGGAAATGTGGTCTCTCTGAGGGAGGAGGACAGACAGGCAGTATAACTTCTCACGTCTTTGTGCATCATTTTTATTAGTTCCTGGCCCACATTTTTAAAAAAGAATATTTACTCTTAAATGACACACTTTAAAAGCATGCTTTTCTAAATGGCAGCAATTGGACCCCATGGTGTGGCCAGTGCATTCAGTCTGAAAACCCTATGGTGACACATCACTGTGGTCCTGTGGAGATGGGTCCTGTGGCGATGTATGTCTTCCTTCTCCTCTAGTTAGCGCCCTGTGAGCTGGGAGATTCAAATCTGATAGCAGCTTGAAAGCTTCAAACCTAGAGTCCTCCAAGCTGGGAAGCTGAATTGCTGCTCTAGGGCTGCGTTTAGATTGATTTTCTGAATGCTGTCACTGCAGAGGAGCTAGTCAACTTTTCTCAAAATATTTTTCTCATCTTTTTCACTTTCCTCTCTCCAGTTTGACATACGGAGTTATAAATGTACTTTCTGGTTTTGTTTTATGCCTTGATTTTTATTTCTGATGATTCTATCAAGCTGACTGCCTTCAATGTTTTCTCTATTTAGGAAAATGCACTACTTCCTGTATTCCTCACCTCCCTCCACCAGAGATTCACTCTCCTGGCCCACGCCTTGTGCCTGGCACACAGGAGCATTGGAGATGCCCCATACCTAAAGTCCATACCTTAATGTCTTGAAATAAATAAATGAATTTAAGGAAGAAACTCTGAAATAAACTGGGGCTGAATTATACAGTAGCTGGCATCACAAAATTCTAATCAAAGCTAGGGAATTTAATAACGATCCCTGCCTAAAGACCTAAAAGCATGTTCTTTTGTTACTTTGTTAACCATCATGAGTTTTCACTGTCCCTTCTGCTACTGCCTTCAATGTAACACTACAAATAGATTAATTACTAAGAGTAAAAGGTTTTGTCTCTTTTCTTTCTTTTTTTGTTTCTTTTTTAAAAAACTAATTGTGAAATAGCTAATTTAAAAGGATCTTTTTTTAAACAACAGTCTTAAAAAAAAAAAAAAGCTAAATGTCATAGTGCCCTAAATTCTTTTGTGTCGGTGATTATATTGTATGTCAAGAAACCATCCCGAGGTGATAATTAGATTTTATCTGCAAATGGAGGTGGGAGGATGAGAGTAGGTAGTAGCGTCAAAATTTCACCAAAACAATAAGACAATTCACACGACGAGGTAGGAAAAACATTACTCAAACAGGCGGTTGGGGCTACTGTGTGATTAAGGGAATTTTGACACTATAATCATCTAGGGTGGGTGTATATTTTATTTGCCTCTCTATGACCAGACATTTAGGAAGGCAAACTGGAGCAAGAAAAAATAGAATGATAACCAAAATGTAAAATATCTCTGTGTTGATCATCATGGAAGTGAATAAAACAGGCCACAAAGACCCCTTTTTTCCCACAGAACTTTTCAACAGATGGTTATACTAGTTGTTTCAGAATTAATACCAAGGATTGAGGGTTGGAGGCATGTTATTTAGAAGCGGTGCTGGTGTGAAAGTGACAAGGTTTTTGGCTCCAAGTAACACCTCCCAATTTGTACAGCAACCACAAATGTGCTTCAGGCAAGGTGGCGTCCTACATTTTAACTTACCCCCAAGAAAATATCCTGAATTTCACAGGTGTTCTCAGTAATATGACCTGACTGAAAATAGCTTCTATTCTGTATTTTTCCCCAGGTTAAAATTAAGCTCGGCAGGCTCGATGTAAATGTGCAGACAAAGCAAAGCAGGAAGCCTCCCACACTAAAAAGGGAAGATAAGAATCACAGAAGCCGGGATGGTTTTTATTGAAGGGCATTTCAAAGCAAATACAGACATCTACAGCATATTTGTAAATCCTCCGTATGTGTATGGAAACACACACCTTCACACATCAAAACTGGATTTGTTCCTGAGTAATAAAACGTCCTAAGAACAAAACGAAAGCAAACTGAATAGCAGAAAAATACTTCCATCGTATACCACACAGGATTATTTATTAACCTCAACACACCAAGAGTTAAGAAAATAATGCAACAGGAACAAAGGGCAATGGATACGTACCGGGAAGACCACAGAGAAAGAAAATGCAAAAATGGCTAATAATATAAAATATTTCCTAGGTTCTATAGTAACCAGGGAAAGACAAAATTACACTTTTGACCTCTTAGACTGGCAGTGACAAAGGTTATTTGAGTGACCAAACTTTAGTCAGGCTCCTGGATCTTCTAGGCCCATCTGGGCACTTCCTCATAAAATACAGTTTTAGCAAACGCCCTGCTAAATTGGTTTACCAAGAACTCCTACCCTCAGTGGAGTTCCTTATCTCTTCACCTTTCCTCAGGTGAGGCCTGATCATCCTGGCCTATCTTCAGCAAGAGGGCCCTGACCGTGACGTTTCCTCTTAGTAAATTTCCATCCACTGACACTCACTCACAGTTTATAGCCAGGAGCAAGCTCCTTGGGTTTAAATTATTTTCCCTGTTATATTCAGAGTTGAGCCCAATCCCTCTCTCCGACTACAAAATCTGATAGCAGTAGTCCCTATACCTATTGCAATGGTCCCAAATAAAACCTGCCTTACTGTGCTTTAACAAGTGTCATTGAATAATTTTCTAACTGCAAATTGTTGGAGGTAAAGACATTTTTAAATGTCTTCAATTAGTTTAGCTACTTCCATGTAATGTTAGAATCTCCATCAATTTGCTAGTTACTGTCCCTTCCTGAGAAGAAGCAGACACCATAGCCCCGCATACTTTGGATTCACTCCTAAGTTGATATTTATATGAATGAAATAGTTATCGCCCAAACTTTGCTTTCTACATTTGTATCAAAAAAACATGATGCCCCTGTGCCCAGCGCCCCCACCACTGGATCCCCAGCCTCACTCCGAGAAAGTGTCAATGTCATTGCGATGATCTACAGGGTACCAACCCGGGATTCTTTTCTGTTCCTTGGGGCCTTGTTCTTCTCTCTGCCTGGAAGGATCACCCTTTAACTTCTCTCAGTCCTTTCTTCAAATGTCACCTTCTCAGTGGGGCCTGCCTTGGTTGCCATACTTATGGTTGCAGTCTGCACACCTTCACCCCAGCACACCCTCTACCCTTCCTCTGCTTTGTAATCACCATCTAATATTGTTTATTTAGTTTGTGTATTGTCTCTCTCTCCCAGCAAAGACTCTCTTCTTGAACAAACTCTAGTCAGCTCCCCTGAGCCCTCTTCTCAACTAGGCCTCAACCTCGGCCTATAGAGGCTTAAATAAAACACGGATACAGTTTCTAACAGCTCAAGGCCGCATCTCTAGAATGACCTTAACTCCCCTTAAAGTGCCTTCCTGAGAAAACTCAAAATGTCAGAATAATTTACTGTTTGTTCATCTAACATCTGAAGATGGGGCTCCTGTCTCCAGCCTCTGTGGGAGGGTGGGAGCCTGACTTCCACAAGCACCAGTTAACAAACCCAGATGAGTTTACATGCACCAACTCCCCTCTTCCTGCTTAGTATGATATTTTTACTTCCGTGAATTTACTGAACCTCTGCTCACCTCCCTCTATACTCCTTCATTCTCTCTTTAAAATGCACAGTCACTTCTGTACAAATTAAAGTTGTTCAGTTCACACTGAACAGTTCTCTGTGGAAATAGTCTATCACTGATTAAAATCTCTCCTTGCCACTTCAGTGTCCAGCTTTGTTTATCTTTGACATCCTCACTATAACGCAGTCTCCATGAATTGGATTTTTGTTTTCTCACTGGCACATAATAGAGACTCAGTAAATACTTGCTGAACCTTGTTGATGGGTCCACAGTGGTGCATGGGTTTTAGCCCCTCAGCCATACTCCTGGGCTGGGATAAGCATGTTGAAGCATCTGGATGAAACATCACTGCTCATTTCACTCCTTAAATACCTGGCAAGTGACAGGCGGCTGGACAATAGACATCATGCTGGTTTTCCTAAAGGTTTCTTCAATTTGTTTCTTGGTTTGTTTGTTTGGTTGGTTAGTTTTTTGCTTTTTATTTATTTTTTTTTTTTGAGATGGAGTCTCGCTCAGTTGCCGAGGCTGGAGTGCAGTGGCACGATCTTGGCTCACCACAATCTCTGCAATTCTCTGGCCTCAGCCTCCTGAACACCTGGGACTACAGGTACCCACCACCATGCCCAGCTCATTTTTTTAGTAGAGATGGGATTTCACCATGTTGGCCAGGTTGGTCTCAAACTCCTGACCTCAAGTGATCCATCTGCCTCGGCCTCCCAAAGTGCTGGGATTACAGGTATGAGCTACCATATCCAGCCTTCAATTTGTTTTAAATTCTGGTAGAGCACCATCTACTACATGTTTAATATTATCCATAAACAGACATGTCTGAGCACAGAAGATCATGTTAATGAAGATTATCGAAAACTACTGGGTGAAGAGTACTTGCTTCACACGAACTTTTCTTATTGGTTGTTGTTATTTCCCCCACTTCCCTTTCCTTTATTTCCATTTGCGATTTTGCTCCTTAAACTTCCTTTCACCTCCAACTCCCTCAGTGATTCTCTGGGTTTTCATTCTTAAACTTCGTCAAAAATGCTTTTGGCTGTGAATTCCAGTGAGTTCCTTCAGATGCAATCTGAAGATGTCCTTTCAGTTTTTATTCTTTAGGTTGTTTTAGGTGATCTGGGGGCCATTAACCTCCCTCACCACACTCTTTCTTCCCTAGTCTTCTAATTTTTTTTTTCCAGCTGTGGCTTCTCACCATTTTCAGTTGACTACAAATACTCGCAAGTATGATCAGTCGCTTTCCAACAAATGCTTTATAAGCAACTACTATGGATAAGGCACCATTGAGATTACAAAAGTCTACTACTCAAAGTGAACTTGAAGAGAGGGAGACAGTCTATACTCACATGAAAAGTTGAAGTTTTCTGCATAGTGCTTGCCAAACAAATTGTTAAGCAAGCACTACGCAGTAAACTAACTTTTCACGTGAACAAAGCTATGTAGGAAAATTCCGGTGATACCCAAGGCAATAATAAATGGTCACATTATTAATCCAACCAGCAAGTCAAAGTTCTCCATTTAGAACTTAGCCTCCCCCATTATTACATTTCTCTCTTCTACAGGGTATTTTCAATGGGTATTGTAATATCAACCACAGATAACAAAATTAACATATCTTCTTATTGCAGCCTCAACCCTATTTTCCAACATCTTCATAATTATCATTGCCACCACCGACACTCTGATACTAAGGTGTATCTCAACATCTTTAGTCTCCCTAGAAGGAGGTCCCTATGTTTAACCCATGGAGGCAATAGTTCCCAAGGCCTCCCTTCCTTCCTGTTCCTATCATTATAGCCCTGGACTAGGTGTCGAGAAACCCAGCTCATCTGGTTCAGTCTTACCTTTTTCTAGTCTACAAAAGGCATAACAGACACTAAGAAATGAAGAATTAAAAATGCTTCACAATTGTAAAACTTTTGAAAAGTCCACCAGTAATCCACACTTATCTGAGGTTTTACTTTCCACAGTGAAGTAGGGTATTTTGAGAGGGAGAGAACACATTCACTTACTTTTTACATTATAATTGTTAGTTATTGTTGTCCTTACTGTACCTAATTTTAAAATTAAACTCTATCATAAGTATGTATGAATAGGAAAAAAAGAAAAAAACAGTGCATAGATAGGGTTCAGCAGGTGCTACCTGCAGGTTTCGGGCATCCACTAGGGGTCTTGGAATGAATACCCCACAGATAAGGGGGGACTGCTGTATATCCATCTTCTACTCTTGTCTTTTCATGTTTTGGGTAATGTCACCTTAAAGAATGGATTTGAGTTTTCAGTGAATAAAATGTTTTAGTCTTTGGGGTTATTTTGTTGTTGTCTTTTTGTTTGTTTGTTGGAGACAGGGTTTCACTTTGTCGCCCAGGCTGGAGTGCAGGTGGTGTGATCACGGTTCACGTAGTCTCAACCTCTCAGGCTCAAGTGATCCTCCTGCCTCAGCTCCCCAAGAGTAGGTGGGACTACAGACACATGCCACCACACCCAGCTAAATTTTGTATTTTTTTTAGAGATGAGATTTCACTATGTTGCCCAGGCTGGTCTGGAACTCCTGGGCTCAAATGATCTGCCAGCCTTGGCCTCCTAAAGTTGCTAAGATTACAGGCGTGAGCCACTGCACCCGCCCGTAATCTCTGTTTTTTTTTTTTGTTATTGTTGTCGTTTGTTTGTTTGTTTGTTTTTTGCTGCTGTTGTTTTGTTGTTGTTGTTGTTGTTTTATTTTTTAAATCTATTCCCGCTTCTTAATTGTACAGTCCTCGAGACACTGGACACTAGAGGTTTTTCAGAGAAAGTCCCAGAAGCCAATTCATATAGATACTCTTGAAGCAAAATATTTTGTGTAGATAAAAGTTCTAAAGCCATGCTCTCTCTAAATCCTTCAAAGCATGGATTAGTTTAGATACTTCATCAAAAAACTTCATGAAAAAGCATGACACCTTCTGCCCATTATTTACTATATAAATAATACATAGTAAGGTTTGCCAAACACGAAAGCAAGAATAGAATTTTAAGTAGCATGGAAGTTTCCATGGATGGGATGTTGAGGTACATTAGTGCTATAAGGAATCAGTCCTTAAAATAGTTGACAAGCCTGTTAAAAGCTCTCCATACAGACTTGCTTCCCTTAAAGTGTTGTCCAAGGACCAGTAGCATCAGCAAAACTTAGAAGCCTGTTAGAAAGTGCACAAGTTCAGTTCCCACTCTAAATCTACTGCATTTCAACAAGATCCCCAGGTGATTCATACGTTTGAATGTGTATGAGAAAGTCTACATTAGATATGAGAAATGCTACAGTAGATCATACGACTCTGTCATCTAACTCCTGTGTCAACTCAGAGCGGGAGCTCTGGTCAGGAGGCCATTACATTTGATTTGACTAGTCCACTGATGCATTGAGACATCACTCCAACTCCTACCTAGCAAAAAATGGTAGCCTTGGCGCTTTCTGGTGTGGCTGACCGGGACTCTCGGTTTTCATCCTTTGTGATGTGCCTTTGTTGCCTATTGTGTATTAACAGTGCAGCAAGGTGATCATGGCTGAAAACCACAGCCTAGGATTAAGAGCTTGCTTGTTGAGGACGGGGACCAGCTGAATCATACCGAGACACCCCACCCCCACTCCTAGGCATGACTTTAACACAGGTGAGGGCCTGCAAACATGAACATCAAGGGAAGCCTTAGAAGAAGAAGGCTCAATGAGCAATTGTTAAATTGCTCAATGAGCAATTGCAGAAGAAGGGAGGAGTGGCAGCCAGAAGCTCAGGAAGGGGAGGTGGAACAGGGACATTTGCTTACAGATTTTAATGTACAAGGCAGGTTTTTCGGCACCAGAAATTTCAAAACACCTTTCTCCTTCCACAGCTGCTTAGCAGCTGCTGAGTCCCCCCTCCCCCTCCCCAGCATGTTCCTGGGCTTGGGCAAACATTCTCATCTTGCCACTGCCTGTGGCCGGCCTTCTGAGAATATGTCAGCTGCCTAAGGAGCAGTCACCCTCATTAAAAAAACAAAACAAAAAAACCAATAAATCCAGATCTGGATAATCAC